CCCCAAAACCCCAAAACCCCAAAACCCCAAAACCCCTTGGCAGAATTATAAATTTGAAATTAAACAGTTATTTTAAAAATTTAAACATGAATCAGTTTCAAACTAATCCTATTCCACAATACTACAGAGGAATTGGAGATAAGGAGAATATTTATAAAGGGTGTAACCCCCAGCCTCACAATCAGGTAGGCAAAGCTTCATAAAAAGATTTAGAAGAGCAATAAAAGGTTTCAGGGGGGAAAGAAAAAGGAATTTTCTCCTAAGAATTCTTTAAAAGACATGTATTAGGCATCTTTAAATTTTAGAAACATTTGTACAAATTTTCAAATTCAGGAAGGAAATTATACTGATGAAAATACAAAGTTTCGGGTAGCGAAACTGGAAAATAAAGAGATTGAAAATTTTTACAGCCAAAATCAGACTGGCAGTACTACCTCAAATTCTACAAAAGCAGCATCTTTGTTCGAGTAAGGAGCTCATAAGACTTTCTTAATTTGTATAGGAAGCTGAACTCGGTATTCAAAGCTCAAGTTGATTACACTAATAATCCCAAGCCTAAAAGAGACAGAAGTAACCCTCGTTGGGATGACAGGAAATAAAGTTGAAAGAATAGTTCTGAAGCAAAACATAGCAATACAAGAAGGAAGGTTTGATCCAGTTCAGTATTTTGGAGGATATACACCTGAAGAAGTTGGCACAGGGATCATTAGAAAAGTTATTTCTCAAATATTCCATCCTCCTGAAGAGCCAAGAAGTAGTGATCCTTCTCCAGATGTTGATAAAGAATTCAGTAATATAATCCCTAAAATGAATAAAACCAAGGCTTCGCACTCTCAAGCAGAGCTGGATCCTGCAAAATGTCCTAGCATGGCTGAAATTTCAAACTCTCTCCAGTCAAGCCAGTCTCGTATAAACCAGTTGGTTAATAATTTGCAAAGTTTGAAATGCTCAATGAATCCAAAGGATAAGGCTAAATGAGGACCATCTCAGACAAACTCTTACCTCAACTATAACAATCCTAAGGTATTTTTCTCCTAAACTCTAGTTTAAATAAAGTCAAGAAGCATAAATCTGCTCTTTGGAGTAACACAGAAAGGAGCAATAATGGCAAGAAGGTCCGACAAAATTGGGTTGGGGAGTACTCCAAAGAGATTTCCAGTTCTATTCATCAGTTGAAGAGCATCTCTTCTCTTTGTAAACACACCATCAGCCATTCAAACCATGATTCCTTGTATAAGTAAGATTGATGCTTATTCCTTAGGAATATATCAAGGAAAATTGACTCCAAGAAATTCAAGACAAAGCTGAAATTGTGAGGCTCAAACGACAAATCAGGCTATTCCAAGGTGAGTGTTTGCAGTTAATCATCAGGATGCCAAGAAATTGCTAGGGGAGACTTCAAAGAACTGCCTTACTATTGCCAATGAGTTCAGAACGGAGAGACCACTGAAGAAAGTCTCTCATAACTCGAACAAATGCAGTAAAAATTCTAGCTACTCCAGGCTTAAGAATGGTCCTTCCTTTATGAAAGAAGGACAGAGTTACCATACTCTCTTTGAGTTGGAGAGGAATAAGTATCAGGAATATCTGGACAAACCTATGAAAAGATTCTTGCCATCTGGAAGAGGTAAATTGACTTAAATATTTTAGAAACCCCAGTCAATGATAAAAATCAGAGACTAGGAGCTCTCAAGTCCAGGATTGAATGAGCTAAAGCTAAGATTAAGTCTTCTACCTCTGTCACAAGCTTTGAGAAAAATTTCATGCGGAAGTACTTATTTATTTTAAATTCTCATAGTAAATCAAGAAGCAAGAAGAAAGCAACAGACCAAGCTCCTGATGGTAGACTTTCAAAAAGTATTCTTCTTTGCTTATAAATAGGTACAAAGAGGTCAAAGACTCGATCTAAAAGTAAACATTCTAGATCAAAGCAAAGAATTAAGAGCAAATCAAAACAACATCTACATCCTCTAAGTCACCGAACGAACTCGGTTGACCATCAGAGCATCAATTCGACATTAGATTTTGTAAATAAGATGAAGAAAGATCTCAAAAAACTAAACCCTTCGAAATTGTCAAGGTACTTCAAAAAGTGAAAATCCAAAGCTACCAAAAACTTGCAGATGAAGAATACTACTAGCTTTAGAAAAGGAGGGAAAAACAAACTTGGGTTTGGACAAAGAACAAGCTCTATCGACCTTCAGATATTCAGATAAAGATCCTAAATTGAGCTTAAGCCTTTTTAAGGTAGTTCTACATATATGATAAGATAAATAAAGCTTCAATAATGCACAGAATAGTCGGGGTTTTGGGGTTTTGGGGTTTTGGGGG